CGTTAATCGATAATTATTCAGAAATCGTTAGATGCGGTCTGGTGTGATGTAGGTTTTAGAAAAACATTTCTTTATCGTGCCAACGTTTCGATCTTTATTGAGATCATCTTCAGGGCTCAAAGTGTTTGTCTTCTGCGTAATTGTGCCATTCTTGCGCGTCGTGTTGACCACACCTGTTTAATTATTTTCTTTTTCTTTAATTTTATTTTCTTCATTTAAATATGGAAAGGAGACAAAAATACAAAACATAAACGGTCACCGACATAGGCTAAACCAGAAATTCAAATCTGAATTTCGTAACTGTAGGTATCCTTCGCCTTACGAAACCAATTCGATAGCACTACCTCAATTCTCTCTCTCTCTCTCTCTCCTCTCTCTCTCTCTCTCTCTCTTTCTCTCTTTTTCTCTCTCTCTCTCGCTCTATCTCTATTTATCTATCTATTTTTCTTTCTGTACATCTCTATCTCTATTTATATATATTTAGTTGAATGCTTTTATATTTCATACTGTACAAAATTATTACAATTTATTTCATTTATTGGTTCAACTAATTCTTGCACTCTAGTCTTATTATACATTTACAAAGAGCATTATTTTCATTAAATATGTACGTAATTATTGTAGTTTCAATTGCCTTTCAGCTTTATTTTGTTTCCTCTGCCTTATTTGGTTAGTAATTATGTCTTTCATTTTTGTTGTTCAGTTTTTACTCTTTAATTGTATTTTTATATATATTATTTATATTTACCATTTATATTATTACTATGTATATCCGTCCTTATTCTTTTTATATACATTATTTGTATTTTTACATATATCATTTATATTTTTTGTTATTGTAAAATGTCTTTTTTATAGTGAATTTCGATCCGTAAATAAATAAATAAATAAAATAAAATAAAAATACCTTAAACCTATTTCTGTCCTTTTTTTTCTTCACGTGTTCTTTCCATCTCAGCTTGGCATCTAAGGTCATTCCCAGATATTTAGCTGTATCGCTGTATGGTATAGCAGTTCGATCGATTGTGAGCGACGGAACATGGTCCACTTTTTTGTTTGTAAAGATTGAAAACGTTGCAATTTTTACTCCATCTATTTTCGGAAAATCACAGGTTTAAAGATGAAAAGGAGGCAAAAATACAAAACAAAGACGGCCATCAACATAGGCTAAACCAGCAATTCAGATCTGAGTTTCGTAACTGTTGGTAGCCTTCGCCTTACAAAACCAATTCGTTGGCACTACCTCTATTTCTCTCTCTCTCTCTCTCTCTCTCTCTCTCTCTCTCTCTCTCTCTCTCTCTCTCCTCTCGCTCTATCTCTATCTCTATTTATCTATCTATTTTTCTTTCTATACATCTCTATCCCTCTTTATATATATAAAATATATACATCACAATACATCTTCTGGTTCCGTTTAATATTGAATGATTAATTTATCATAGAAACATTTGCGTAAAAACCATCAAGCACTTATTTTATTTATAGTTTTAGAAATCATGTTTATAATATTATCACATTGTGGATGGTTATCGTTATTTAAAATATGCAGTGAAATTATACAAAATGTTACTTATTTTGAATTAAATGGTCAAATAAAATAAAAACAACTCAGCAAGCTTCCAAATTGTTTATTAAATAATGATAATATATTATATTATTTTATAATATATTATATCATATTATATTATATTTATAAGTGGGTCACATCGCAAGTATTATTAAAGATGGGGGACATGAAGAAAATGATCACATCTTTCTTCTTTTAAAGATGCAAAGGACAAAAACAGACAGTCATCAACATAGAACCAGAAATTCAGATCTGAGTTTCGTTACTGTTCGTATCCTTCGCCTTACGAAACCAATTCGGTGGCACTACCTCAATNTCTCTCTCTCTCTCTCTCTCTCTCTCTCTCTATCTATCTATCTATCTATCTCTCTATCTATCTATCTATCTATCTATCCATCTATCTATCTATTTATTTCCGTCTCCCTGGAAGAAAGGTCCACGACACCTAACTTTCCGTGATTAAACGAAACGTTTAATCAATCAATCCCTCTCTAGGTCTCTCTTTCTCTCTTTAGCTCTCTATCAGGTTTACCAAACTATCGGTTGGGTTCAGTACCCAAGATGCCAATGGAGAAAGAAGGGCTAGCCGAGGACGTCAGAACTGATTGTAGGACATGTCCAGGCCCTCAGGTATGGTATCTTTGAGAGGGGAAATATCAGGGCAAAGGTGATTTTGTATTTTGGGTGTTTATGATCATTTTAGCTTTTACTCGTTTTATTATGATCGTTTTAAATAATAATTTTGGTTCAAACTCTATCCAAGTGAAGATGGTGACAGACAAAAACGTAGAAAAGACCAAACTGCCAATTCATCACTGCGGACATCAAAATTTAAAGATTAAATGGCAGCAATACTGGCTCTAAAGTTTGAAGTAAGCACAACAACTAACCTTTGTTATTATTTAAATTCAACTGGAAAATATAAAAAAAATAAATGTTGCAAACTAAAAACAAATTCTCCCAGCTGCCCTAAACGTTAGTCTATTGGTTAGTATACAATTAGAAGGAATATCATGAATTTGTTAGTTATTCTATTCGAATCATTACTGCAATTTTTTTAACTTGCTCTAAAGAACGAAAATTGATCCTTGTCCAATTTAATTCAAATACTAAGCTCCATGGCCAGAAAGAAAGTTGTGAATTAAAAAGGTTCGTTAAAGCGGCACAGCACGCGAATGTGGAAGAGCCGAAGTAAAATATTAAAACACCGTTTCGGATCTGATTTTACACGAGTCACGAAAATCACGATTTAATTCCCTTTCTGATCAATTATTCAGCACCCGACTGAGAGAAATAATTACACGCGGGGCCGAAATATGCCGATGTTGATTAGATCAATTATTTTCTTCGTTGATCAGATCCAGCGCGCATATGGCCTTATTTAGGACTCGATTTTATTTATTATTTCGTAAAAAAGTTGTTTCCATTATTGACTGATTTATGTCGTTGTACGCGTAAGCAGATAGAACCGACGTTTTTCCTATGTTTGTCGCAGATTTTTACGAATAATGTCAAATTTCATACACTTTAATGTTTTTGATGGCAACTTGAACAAAGACATAAAGCTCTTGTTAATGTTTGATAAATTAAAATAAACAGCCTGGCCTAAAGACATAATTAATGCGAGAGGGTTGAGTGTAAAAAATAAATAGATAATAAAAGAGTAAAAGAGAAAAGATGTGTGAGATGAAAACCTCGAAAGAAAAATAGAAAAATAAAAATATTGACATGAAAACAAGCAGGAAAGCGGTTGAATACCTATGAACATATTTTTGGTGAGTGATTTAATTTTATCCATTAATATAAAAATTATTTGGCAATGAAAATGATTCGATTGGAATAACCAATTGGTTGCACTGTTTGCACTAAAAATTAAAGGTATTTCTAACACAAGTATATCGTAAACTAAATGTTAAATCCCTCCTCACTCTCTCTTACTCTCTCTTTTTCTCTCTCACTCTCTCTCTCTCTCTTTGGCTCACTATCTTTCTCCCTCGCTCTCTCTCATTCTTTCTCTCTCCACTATCTACTTATCTATCTCCCTCACTCCCTCTCTCTCTTTTGCTTTCTATCTTTCTCCCTAGCTCGCTCTCTCTCTCTCTCTCTCTCTCTCTCTCTCTCTCTCTCTCTCTNCTTTCTCGCTATCTATCTATCTATCTCTCTAGGTCTCTCTCCCTCTCTCTATTTTGCTTTTTATCTATCCTTCTCCCTAGCTGTCTGTATCACTCTCTCTCTCTCTCTCTCTCTCTCTCTCTCTTTCTCTTATTTTTTCTCTCTCTAACTATCTATTTATTTATCTCTCTAAATCTCACCCCCTCTCTCTTTCTCTCAATCAATCTATCTCTCTATCCCTCTCTCTATTTTGCTCTTTATTTATCTTTCTCCCTAGTGATCTCTCTCTCTCTCTCTCTCTCTCTCTCTCTCTCTCTCTCTCTCTCTCTCTTATTTTTCCATCTCTCATTATCTATGTATCTATCTATCTCTATCTCTATCTCTCTATCCATTTATCTATCTCTCTATCACTCTATCTCAAATCTTTTAAATAAAGTTTTAAAAAAAACGTTAAGTCTGTTTTCTCTGCGTAACAATTTAAATAAACATTTTGTAGGGCACAACGCGCACCAACAATCCGGTAGATTTTAATTGAATATTTCTTGTTGTCCACTTGGAGAAAGAGTACAAGGCGGTACACGCCAATATTTATGAGGACTTTAATGCTTAAATTGTTACAATATATAGTAGTAGAGTAGTTCAACAATCCAGTGAGTGAAGACGGACCCGATATGTGACTCAATGCCGGTTCAGCATAAACCAAGGAATTCCAATTTGATACAATTTATTCGATACTGTTCCGTATTACACACACCCTGTTAAGGACTTCGTAGCAGAAGAGATTGTCAAGCCATATCTTGTGCTGCTGTGAAAGAAAAGCTCTTCCTTTTGATTTCAATGCATTACTGGTCGACTGAGAGAAAATTTTATAGACAATTTGAAATGGTACAGACTCTATAAAGAGTTACTAGGTGGGATGTGCTGATAAAGCAATCGAAGCTCTTATTAATAAAAAATTTTCACAAATCCCTATAATTGATCACTATTTATTATGAATATCATACGTTATTAATTGACTTTTTGTTCATTTCTATGCCTATTTGCTTGTTGGATTTAGTTGTGTTATTGGATTTATATATAAGTGAATTGGTATTTTCCTAATGCGCAATCATTAATCCATATCTGTTTTATTAAATTAGCGTGGGCGAGTGAATGTTGATGAAATATTACTGGATGTCCTTATTTATTGCTTTTGGTTGAGCATCATTCGGTATATGATAATATATGTGTTATTTGGCTATTGTGTTATTACTGTGAACTGTTTTGACTGAACGGTAATCTTTGGTTCTTGAAGTAAGGGTTAATTTTAAGACAAACTCACCGGTGAGATTGGGCTCCAGAGTGGTTTGACGTCTTCTTCTGGGCAGGTCTCGATGTCTACAGTGCCCTCACTGTCTGAATCTCCGCTTCTGCTCGTCGGACCCGGAAAGACCGGTGTAAAAGCCGAAGATCCGTAATGGCCGGATTTTGCATCAGCTCCCGGTGGAGGCGGTAAAAGGAGCGGGGCGGGGGGAAGCCACATTGGGTAAAGGGGTGTTTTCCAGACGTAATCCATCACCAGGGGCGGGACTCTGGGGGCGGCCGGGGCCGGAGAAGTCGGAGGCGGTGAGTCGGATCGTCTCCTCGAGTTCTTTTGTCCGGTCCCGGTCAACATCCGCTTTCTCGTACCGCCGTTGAACATTGCCTTTACGTCTTCCCAGGCGTGCACCACCTGAAACAATTCCTGCTCATCCGTTCCGCCTCCAACTCCATTATTAATTACCTCTTCAGGTGGAGAACCGCTTAAACGCATGTGCCGCCGCCAAGAGTTGAAGTTGGCTGCGTCCGGCTGGACGTACTTCGCCCCTGGGCCGCTTCTGTGCGAATGGAATATGAACTTGTTGGGAGAGAAGAAGAGGCCACAAGTGGAGCACTTGATACATTTTGCTCTTGATGAATTATATCTAGAAGGGAGGAAAGCGCCTCTACAGCCCCAAGCGCAGTCGTGATGAACAGCAAAGGCGAAATCCTCAGGCAGCCTCGGAGGAGTGTTGTCTCCCAAGAAAGACTTACAAAGCCTCTCAGCTTCGCGACGTGTTATCATACCTTGACGTCAAAACAATAAAGGTTATTATTAAAGCATTATGAAAAACATTTTGAATAATAAAATTAAAGATAATAAAAATTGATAATAGGAAAAGGCTGAAAAACAGATAGATACTCGGCAAGATCCAACTACCTACTTTGATCTAGTTAAACTGATCTATCAAAATGGAACTATTGAGCTGCTCTACGCATGGGTTATACCTCACTTTTCGCTTGATATTTACTTCCACTGATATTATATGCTCCTCAGTCATATTGACTGGATTCCGCTTTCCTTTGCCCGTTAGTAAACCTTCAACCTAACCTTAACGTAACCTTTTCCTCGCCATGTTTTCTTTTTGGCTGTTTTCGGCCACTCCCAAATAAAGTGCCAATTGAGTCAGCGATGTCCGTTTAGCAGACCAGGTGGTCCTGAGTTTTGTTCGGCCTAGAAACATCAGGTCCGTAGTAAGTTTAGGCAAGATTTTCTTAATGAAGTGGTTTGCCTGTTTCTGAGCTGAGATGTTATTCCACCAGGTATATGTTCTTAATTCCATTTTTTCACGTTAAGCTTTTTATTATCTTCAATAACCTTGGTAGTTGTTCGTCAGTTATATTTATTGGATTCAGCTTTTGTTTGCTTGTTAGTAGAAACATTTTCCTTGTCAAGAATTCACAGTTATAAATATGCACCCAAGTTTTTATTCTTCTTGGCAGAACCTCACAGGTCGCCTTCTTCCAAATATTTTTAAGAGCTTTGTATAATCTATGTTAGACGACCTGCAATGATGCATAAAGTGCATTGTAATTTTAAGCAAGATATTTTTGCCTGTTTCTGTCCTGAGCTGTTTTACCATATGAAGACCATTCGGCAATTGCTTCTTTTTTGTAACTGTTTGGAATTTTAAACAATTATCTGGTTCCTACCAGGACAGATGAAGACCTCCGTCTTGTCAATCGGGCTCTTTAAAAGCAAACCTCTTTTGATGAAAACTCTTAACAGGGGTTTATTGAGGTCAATTTTAATGCATGGAAAAATAAAGACCAGAACCTTTTCCCAGAGTTTTTTGTAGTTAGCTGACAGTTTAAAAGAGAGTTCCGCCAGTGGCCACGAGTCAAAACTTATGGTAGAGTCTTCAAATTTTAAAGAGGAAGGTTTCTGCACTACTAAATAGTCATCTTGGAAATATATGATTCCGCAAGGAGGCAGAGGAAACCAAAACCTAGTGTCATACCGTATTACACTTCCACAGTGGACAATAACCTCTACCACCGTGACGAATCGAGAACAATTAACAAACTATAGGTACAGATTAGGGATTCGATAGCTTTTAGATGGCGCAGTATACCAAAGCTGTATAGAGCCCAAGGAACCATTCACTGCTATGGGACTCCTTGTGTCCTGGTTGACTTTTTCAAGTTCAGATACCTTGCTAGATTAGCCAAGCTAAGTATTTTCTTTCTTTTTCTCCCTCCATGATTTATTGAAAAGGAATTACTATCATTTCGTAAAATCATCTGGGCAATTAGCTGATTGCCTCGCAAAACGTGAGGGAAAAGTAGACTGGAGAGACTACTCTTGGTAAATTTTGAAACATCGTAGGTCCACCAAAGATTATTTGTACAAAAATATATTTTTGAGAAAAAGAGTGAGTTGTTACTTACCGCATCTTCTTGAGGATACCGGCATCGCGCCAGCTCTGCGTAACATCTCGAGCTGAACTGGCGTACACTGCACGCATGTGATGCCCAGCGCGACGCGACGGTTGTGAATCTCGTTGTAAGAGAACGCCTTTAACAGGGTGTTGCTGATCTGAGCGAGGCAGAGCCTTTCCTGGTTCTCCATCACCAGTGAGACTATCGGCACGCCGTAAAGGACCACCGTTCCCACCTGCGATCCAAAATCTCTGCTCGTCAAAAAGGAACGTTTCTCGACTATTTAGTGATGAAATACCTGATTCGGTTTGCCCTGCATCTGGGAGACGTGCTGCGACTGCGGTGGCGAAGCCAGTCTGACCGACACTGACATCTTGAACAAACAGAAATCAATTAATAAACACATTTCTAAATATCGAGTTTCACACAACAGACGTTGTTCTGTATTAAATTATGAAAATATTGAACTAATTTGCAATGCATTTTTCATATTTTTCTCAATTAAAAAGCCACGGGCTAAGATTCAAACCCAGAGCGTAACCTCTCGACCAAAGCGGTCCCTTGAATTTCTTAGGTCTTGTAGGTCTTATGTCGGTAACTTAACTACCATTGATGTAAAATGTCACAAGGTGAAGGAAGCAATGCCCAAACGCTTCTGACAAAATAGCGAAAAAAGTTAGTACTGCAACTGTCGCCTCTTCCTATTCTATTTCAGGAATATCCTATTCTATAACCTCCTACTGAGGACAATAACGCCACCGTTATATCAACCAGGAAAGCTTCTGGTTCCTCCTTGATCGACCTGCCCTTAAAGGTCAAATATTTCTCATAAACAATTATAAAGCTATCTTGAGTCCTACCAATACCCACAGTAGCGCAATATAATAATTATGATTGCCAAGCCAGTGAAATAAAAAGAAAATGAAAAATAAGCCAAATTAGCCTTCATTCCAAGGTGGAATCCATTCTACCATCATACCCAATTTTTTATTTAGGCCGAAGATCCCACGAAACCAGATCTCAGGTATTTGCATCCCTGCCAGCATCAATTTCACAAAGCCACGTTTGAGCAAATAAAAGTTTCCTTCCCGTAAATCATGGCAAAACGTAACATCATACACATATAGTCGCCATAGTAAACATCAACAACTGAATAAACAACATACTACATTAACACATAAAATGCAACGTATTGTATCATTTTGATACTGATGTGTTTGGTACAACCCAATAGTTGAATACCATATGTCCTCGTAGGCTTTAGGACTTGTTTGTATAATATTATTTGACTTTCTATATTAAGGTTAGAGTCGGGGTTTATCAATTAATATACTTACCTTAAACCTATTTCTGATTAGACATTATACAACACAGAGCACTAAGACTTTGTCTGGGGGCTTTGTCTTCTACGCCTACAAACTCCCTGAAAGTGGAGGCTAATATTGGACCTTTACATCTTAGAAGAAGACGGCTAACAATTAAATTCTTAACTTCTCGGTTGCACGATCCTTCACACCCTGAAGCTGCAGGATTGGATAACCTTGCCTATACATCCTTTGGTGGTGTACACAATGCATCCATAAGACACTCCCCTTTGCTGGAACATATGCAAATAAAACACATCGCCCTGGGTAGACAAATTCGGACCGCCAACCCTACGCTTAATTGGCGCACCTCCCTTTATTCACCCAATATCATAATAGGCCAACAAGATCTGATAGGAGAAAGAGAATATGTAATAGATTGTTATGAAACCGGACATAGCCCTCTAGCCACAGTGGTTTATACGGATGGTTCAAAATCGAAAAATGGAGTTGGTGCAGCATTCCTCGACATAAGTAACAAGAACTCAACTAAGTTAAAGCTACCCTCCTTTTGCTCTATCTTTTCCGCCGAAGCCATAGCTATAAGGGAAGCAGTTAAGTATGTAATAAATCTCAACCCAACCTATGCTATAATTTTGTCGGATAGTTGGAGTGTTTTATCAGCCTTAAAAAATACGGATTGTCCTCAAGATCCCATCACCACAGAGATAAAACACAGTATGATGTCTGCGAGTAAACGTGTCATTATTCACTTGATCTGGGCGAAGGGTCACAATGATAATAAATTTAACAATCAGGTCGATTTACTGGCAAAAGAGGCTGCAGTTTCGGGAAGTTGTACTGAAGAGATCTCGGTGTCGGATATCACCTTTCATAACAAAACGATTCTGAGGAAAAAATGGCAAAAGGAATACACAGAGGCAAGTAATCCTAAGGGCTTCTGGTATTTTAACATACAGCCAACGATCCAGTCTGCAGCATGGTTTTTTACCGTGAGACGACCGAGAAAGTTTTTCACTTGTACATTTAGGCTTAGGTTTAACCATCACCGTCTTCCATCCCACCTCCACAAAATGGGAATCTTCTCAAATGGCAAATGTTCATGTGACAATTCTACAGTGGCAGACGCGAATCATGTTCTTTTGGCCTGCCCACTAAAACTTCAAGGAAGAGAAGATATTTATGTTTACAAGATGTTTACAAAACACTGGTGAAAAATAAAGTGCCACTACCCACCTCAGTTAACTTAATTTTAAGGTATATCAAGAACATTGAAAACCTGGATCCCATTTTTACATTTATCGAAAAAAATGACATAGATGTTTAAACAAATTTTAATAAAGAAGGAAAGAATAGTAATATTGGATCAAGTGGACGTGGGCAGGCGGCGGCTGGGCCGTGCCTGGCTGGGCGGGCGGTGCGCTGGCTGGGTGGACCCTGGAACGATCTGTGACAAAGTAAAGGAAGGGTAGAAGGACCTTATACAGAGAAGAGGCTTGGGCGTCCTTCCCGGTCGGCGCTCGTGGCGTTCGGTCTCGGCGGGGTCGGGCTGTGGAATGTCCGCGGGACCCACTAACAGGAATGGCTAGATGTACTAACGTATAAGGAAAAAAAAAACCTATTTCTGACATTTTTGTTTCTTCACGTGTTCTTTCCATCTCAGCTCGGCGTCTAAGGTCATTCCAAGATATTTAGCTATATCGCTGTATCATATAATAGTTCCATCGATTGTGAGAGATGGATCAAGGTCCACTTTTTTGCTTGGGAAGTTTATACGTACTGTTTATATGTATTGCAGCTGATTGAACTTGATTTTCAATTTTCCATTCGTTTATCTTATTACGAACCTTTTGAAGGATTTCGGTTGAATGGTTGAAAATCGGTTCTACTGATTTCAACGCTGTGTCGTCTGCAAATGTTGCAAGTTTTACTCCATTTATTTTCGGAAAATCACTGGTGTATAAAAAGTATAGCAGTGGACCTAGTATCCTACCCTGTGGCACTCCTGCATTTATTGTTTTTAATTCTAAGGGTCTTCTTGTTTGACTTAGAAATGTCGGTCAATCTACATTCTGGTATGGTAACATCGCTTTTAACTTACATAAGTCCTATAAGGACGTATCTGACAAAACAAGCAATTTTAAAAATTTATTAAATTTTATAATGTACCTAGGATACACCATCTTCCCCTGTGGTTTGTTTATTTATCTTGATTAAAATATTAAAGCAAAAGTAAAGTAACGTAGAAGTAAAGAGGTGGACCTAATGTGCTACCTTGTGGCACTCCTGCATTTATTGTTTTTAATTTTGAATGTTAATCTTCTTGTTTGACTCTAAAGAGTCAGTCAGTTAGGTAGGAACCTGATAATATGTACATTCTGCTTTGGTAGCATTGCTTTTAGTTTATTGATGAGTCTTTCATGACCTTGTCAAAGCTTGTGAGACATGAAGGAAGATAAGAAAACAAATTTGTGTTTCTTCAAGAGGTTTTTCTATTAACTACGTTACTCGGTGAGAAATTTAAGCCAAAAGATTTAAATTTAAGTGCTTTTATATATCTCAATGTTTGACTCTTACATGAACAACCAGCAAATTGGACGGCTAGTAACGAACTAACTAACTTAATAAAATAAACCTGAGATGTTACAGACTAAACTCATATTGGACATGCCATGACAGAGATGATAAAAGCACAAGTAATCTGGGGAAAAACATGGTTATACAAAACTGATAAAAATCGAGGGCGACGAGAAAAACAATTACCAGAGAATCGTCCCCTCATAACGAGAAAATAAAGTGGAGGGCGAACCCCTGGAAAGAGGCATTATTCCGGCGAGGAAAAGCTAGAAAAGAGAGGGCGGTTAATAAATATGGCAATTTTATCAAAACTCGGCCGAGAGCAAATCCGATTACAGGGAGACTGTTTTCGAATTAAATCCCAGATGGAGATTCCGTGATTTTTAATTTACGTGCTCCGTGAGGCGTGGACAACTCCCAGGAGTGGGTGCATCTGGCGGAGGAGGATCGTGGTAATTAATAGTCCGCCCCCGACATGTGCTTCCCAACCCTCGTCAACCCCGGGCCCTAACTACTTTACGATCTGATGAGAATTGTCATGATTCTTAATTCGATAAAAGTCATTTGTCTCGGTCCGCTCCGACGCCAGTTTCAACGAAATCAGGTCATTCCCTTAAAAACTGGCATTATCATAACCCCTTTCTTCATGATGTCGTTTACACTCATAATAAAGTCATCAATCATAAACTTTCCTTTCATTATATTCGGAAATAATAGACCAGTCAAATCACAGATGCAGATTTAAGACACCCATCATTTGAATTTGATAAAATTGATAATGAATGCAAGATTATTTTCTTTGTATTTTCGGTTTCCACTTCGATTGGAGAAGATACGTTAATACATTCTTCATGGACAACATTAAATTGATTGGCCAATTTAACTAACTGTCAAACCCTGAGGGCAGACTGCTTCAAATTAGATATGCCATGATGTCACAATCCTTAAATTCACATTTAACAACAAATACGAAGTAATGTGTAAGTAAAACAACAAAGGAAAAACTGAACCAAAAAAATACGTTCAACAAACGAAAAGGGCATAGGATAACATCCAAAGACTGAACTGGTTATAAATCTCCGCAGTCAGAAATCCAGCTATTGAACATTGTCAGAGAAATAAAAAAGGCTTGGAATCCAATGAAAGAAGCCATATTCTGTGACAGTATGGCACTTTAACCGTGAGGTGAAATTGTGCCTGAAGTTCCATGGAATTCTTGGTGGAAGTCTCTCAGGAGCGGGATGACATAGCGGCCGAGAGTGAAGCCTGTATGAATACTTCCATGCCCGAACCTCATTGTGAGTTGGTAAACAAGATAATTGTAAAAAGAGCATTGAAAAACGGATTAAGCATATTGGCGGATCAACACCCAAGGATAAGAGCATACGCAAAACACACGCATGACGATCCGATTGCATAAGTAAGATTATTACCAGAAAGGAGTGTGTACCAAGCAGAAGAAATATTGTGC